AACTAATAGCACTACCTTCTCATCAAGCACATTTCTAAGCTTTTAAGAAAATTTCAGCTTTCTCACATCATAATATCAGCAAATTTACTGCACCAAGAGTCTAATGGTACATCCATATTTTATAGAACTGACATCAGTCATAGATAAGTCTCTGGAAATCACCTTCCCTCAATAGCCATCAATTTGTCAATAAGCTATTTAGCTTAGTTTGATAGAGTTTCATCAAAATATGGAAAAGCAAGGTCTGGGGGGATGTAAATTGGTGGTAAAGCACCTGCCTAGCATGAGCGAGGGCCTGGTTCCATCTCCAGTACTGCAAAGGAAAAAATCAACTAATAAATACAACTGGAAAATTCAGATTATAAGTAGTTTAAAAAACAATTTTAGCCAACCAAAATCCTTGACTCTTATTCTATGAATGAGAACATGCTTGTTATCTGGTACATACATATACTCAATGTAAGCTATCAATATAATAATTTTCAGTGACTTTGTCAAGGTCAAACTCTGAGTCAGTGGCAGAGCCATGTATAAAATCTAGTTCCTCTGAAACCAAGTCCAACATTCATCTGTCTCCCTTAGTATTTTCATATAATCACCGATGCTACCTCATCCCTGAAACAGCTTATATTTACACTTTTCTTTCAAGTGCTAATATGGCAAAATTCAGCACTGCAGAATAAAATTTACTGTAAATTTTTGAAATTGTCTATCCCTAAGTAAAATAAATCAATCCCGTAAGACCCATAAGACTGACTTTTAATGATTAGAGTTTCCATAACCTTAACCAAAGCCTTGTCATAACTAAAAACAGTGGTAACTACTGGTATCTAAAAGAGATTCCAAAGAGCAGTGGTAATGAGCACCTGTAATCCCAGCACTCGGAGGCTGAGGCAGGAGGATCACAAGTTAGAGGCCTTCCTCGGCTACACAGTGAGTTCCAAGTTAGCCTAAACTACATAGTGAGACCCTGTCTCAAAAAAAAAAAACCCTATAATAAACAAATAAACATACTTCCAACACTGTAATACAATCAGAATGTTTTTGAAGCCTCAAACACATTGAAGGTACATTACATGGTAGATTGCACTTTAGAGTAATTATGCAGACTCAAAACATAACCCAGCTGTTTTCTTCTAACCTGAGCTTTATTATTTTCACAGATCAAAATTTTTTCCCTCTAGATCACTTTTCACCGAAAGGAAAACTGTCATATGAGGTAGTATGAAATGATTCTAAAAACAGATTGTCCTGTTATTGATAGATGTTCATTTTTAAATTTTATTTTATACTAGTTATTTTTAGAATCTGTACCAAACAGCAAAATCAGGGTATGGTGTGAAATATACATTTTATCTAGATTATACCAGATCAAACACACATTCATATCTTTATCATGTGCTAAAACTATTATGTCAATAAATTTTGTGCAAAGTCAAGTAGAAATAATGCCTAAATCATAATTATGCAATAACAGTAAGTGGGCTTTCTTTTTTTCCCTGTCAGTTTCACCAAACAGAATTACTGTAGTACTTAGAGTACCATGATCAAGCTGCCCTTTTCAGCAACAGTCATATTGTTTGCCTAGGAGAAAAGTTTCATTGGGTTTCTGATAGTGCCCGGGATACTGACATTGTGCCAATATAAATAGTCACAGTCAAGTTTAATATGCCTATTACCATTTGTAGAGGAGACTTAACTTCACAGTATTACACATCAGTTATAATTAATTCTTCTCCCCAAAATGCCATAAGCTTGGCTGTTTTTAGCAAGTACATATACAGAGCATCAGGCTAAAGACTTTGGACTTTAATGCTGGTTATATTAAGTCGAGGCATAATAAACTGTATTCACCTTCCCATCCCAGGTAAAGAAAGGGGTTGGGCTATATCTAACAGTAGAAATGAAGAATTAGACTCACAATTCACTAAATTTCCTATGTACCTCTGAAAAATGAAGTCAGGAATACTGAAGGAGTTTTTAATTTTTGTTTGGTTGATCTTTGATTTTTTTGGCAGAGCTGGGAATTGAACCCAGCACCTTGCACATGCCAAACAGGTGCTCTACCACTGACTCCCGCCCTTGAGAGTGGTATTAAACCAATGATCACCCCAAGACAATGCTATAGCCTAGTGATGATTCTGTTTTGATATGATTTCACAACATTTGAAAAAGAACTTATCTCTTGGGACTGGGGGTGTAGCTCAGTAGTAGAGTGCTTGACTGAATGTACAAGGCCTCGAATTTCATCTCCAGTACCAAAAAACAAAACAAAATAAAAGTAAAAAGAAAAGGAAAGGAAAGAGAAAGAAAAAAAGAAAGAATTTATTTCTCTACTACTGAAGCCTAGTTGGATAGTACCACCTTGATTTAAGGTTAAACATTTATTAGGAGTTCAGTCGAAAATTATGTTGTCACCTCACATCCACTTGAGGTGATCTATCTACTAGTGTGGTTAGCTCTAGTAGTTCAGGTACAGTTTAAATTCTTTTACAGCCAATCTGTGCCATTAGGTTAGCATGGGGTTCAGAACTACGTGTTTTTAGGTAGTTTTTGCCTTCAGGCTCAGAAACCTATGCACAGCAAGAAAATGAAGTCCTCAAGTCATTCAGAAGTGACTATTGTAAATATAAAGGACTTGGGGCAACAAAACAAAAAATACAAAGCCAACTCTCTTAAATAGTCCCAGTTTTGTTTTTATAGTTTCTGTGCTAGTTGTTTTCAAGACTGTGTATTAACAGGATCCATTTTTTTGTAATTAAGTAAAGCTTTTAAATTCCTGCTCATGGAGATTCCTCTGCCTGTTTCCTTAATCTGCAGTATGTAATCTAAATAGCAAAAGTACCATGTTTTCCCAGCAATAATCTTAATTTGGGCCTCATGGATGGGTATAGGATAACATGGGAATGTTGTTTTGGGTCCTCTCTTTATTCTAACCAAAGCATGGACAAGCATAAAAAGCCCAACCAACTTTATTTGTCAAATCTAGTGTCAACTGTTTTTGGCTACAATTTCTGATTTGGTTTATTCCAAACCACAAATAACTGATGGTTAATTTTAGTCGAGAAATTATCCATCACCTATAAGCAAATGCCCAATATGTAGAATGGTTTACTTAAAATACAGGCCAGGCCAAGGAATATGCATAAAGCCCTTGAAAAGGAAAACTCTGTCTTATGGAATATTGCTCCAAATCTAGCATTTAGTAACGTAATGGGCCAGGGTAGAAGAACAACTTTTCCTAGAGAATAATTCAAAAGATATTTTTAAAATTTCAAAAAGCCATAAAGAGATTTCAGGGGGACTAAGGAATAATGTGTCTGTCCCACCACAAAAAAAGTGTCAAGACTTTATCTTAAAAACAGCTCCTGTTTTCATTTTGGATAAAATTGGAGCATCAAATTCCCTTTCTGTTCAATCATCCAAAGGCAAGAATTCCCCTGAGTGGAGGCTAGGTCACCCATCCCCACTTTGTGGAGTTTTTGGAATATGGGCCTCAGCCATTACATTCCATTTTTAAAGTCAAATGAAGTCATGTGACCATTACCCTACGGGGATCAGAGACTTGGGGCACGTGATGCCAACTGACCTGTGTGTGGAACTTGGCCTCTTAGCTGGAATTCACAGTAAACTGCACCTCAGACATCAAGCTTAGGCTCCTAAATACAGTACATTTTGTCATTCAAGTGTACGAAGTGCTTACTCCTCAATAGGTTCTAATTTCACTTGCATTTCCTACCTACTGTGGCAAACCACGTTCCCCTTTTCTCTCCACATCCACCCCCAGCAGGCTGGGCACTCCCATTGTCAGGCGTCTGATCCCCAAAGGCGAGGTTCCCGAACTCAATTCCAAGCTGGTCCTTCTGCACTTCTGCGGATGCTGAACACCTCAGGTGAGAAGGAACATCGCGGACGGGAAGTGTCAGCTGCTGTTAACCCACTCCACCTTCCCAGCTAGGACAGGCTCCCGAAGGGAGCCTGGCTAGCTGTAGGAACCGCCAGCACTTTACGGCAGCTGCGGCGGTGGCGGCGGCAACTTTGGGACTGGCGAGAAGCCAAGTCGGGGGCGGTCGGCGCCCCCAGTCCTTCAGAGCGCTTAAGTACTGCGGGTGGAGAAAAGCAAACACTGGCCGAGCGCAGCTGTGCGGGGGAAGGGGCGACTTAACCCCCTCCCTTCTGTTCAGCTTCCTAGGGAGCCCCATAGGTCTTGGGCTGCTGCAGCCGCGACCGTGCGCTCTGGGCGGCAGAGCCAAAGGAGCTGGGCATGGGGCAGACACGCGGCATGGGGTCCGGGGAGAGGAGAATGGAAAAGTGCTGCCCTGGTGGCCCGAGCATGTTGTGCTACTGAAAGAAAAAAAGTGCTTACTCATAGGAGACGCGGTGCGATCACGACGCTCTGGGTATTGGCAAGGGAGGGAAGCAGGCAGAAGGCAGGCGACTCAAGCCAAGTTCCTTTCCCCGGCCCTGGCACTCCACCCCCGCCCCGCTCCAAGCCTCGGGGTCGGCGCAGACCCGCCGGGACACCAAGGCCGGCTTGTGGGAGAATGGGGACTTTGCGGGCTGCCGGCTCCGGGATTTTCTGAGTCTGGGCGGGCGGCAGGGGGTAGCAGTGGCTGGAAAAGGACAGCAGAGGGAAGTTAGGCACTCGGTTTACACTTCTGGGCCAAGGCGGGGGAAGGTAATCTGGGCAAGGGTTGGCGTCAGCGACTCCAGACCAAGGTGGGCAACAAGTTAAGAGCAACTAGAGAGAAAGCATCGTCTTCTATAGTGGAGGAGTGCTTGCGGCGAGGAGCCCTCGGTCACTCCCTCCCAGCTCCGTAGCGAGTGATAGCCAGAGCGCCCAAGGGCTCCGACCGCAAAGTCTCCGACCTCTGTCTGGTCCCTGTCCCCATTCCCCAGTGCGAGGCACGTTTCTGTTGAGTTTCTCTGAGATGCTCTCCTCAGTACCCACTCCCGCCCATGCCCAGGAAAGTCGCTTCCCGGACTTGCAAACCACTTACGTAGAGTCACAGAATCCCCCGGTCTGGCCCGACAACCTCCGACCAGCGCACTCACGCAACTTCTGCCCCTTGGAATCTTTGCAGCTGCGGTTCTAAAGCCAGCGCTCCCTCCCCTCCTGCCAGCCCCCTCCGCCCTTCGGCCGCCGCCATTGGCTCGGGTGGTGCAGGCAGTCGGCCTGGGAACCAGGAAGGGGATTGGGCCACGAGCCTGTCATATCAACTGGGTGGGGAGCTGGGAGAATGGGCACCGGGTTAGGCAGCCGAAAGGATGGGAACTGTATGTAACTCTGAGGCAGGGAGCAGCTGTACTGATTCTCAGCACCTAATTCTCCTCTCTCTGCTTGGGCTAAGAAAAAGAAGTTCGCAGTGCTTGGCTTGGAGTACAAGTTCAAAAAAAATGTTTGGAAGAACCGAAAATATGGAAATGTCGGTACTCAAATTTGAACACGGTCTGTGGAGGAGGGAAAAACACAATTGCTCCTGGAATCATGAACAGAATCACCCATGGGAAGGGAGGGGCATTGCTAGTTTCATCTGCTTTCATCTGCCTAGGTGCCAAAGGACTCCTAGGGAAATCTCAGGAACTGTCCCTTTCTTTGAGAAGTGAAGAGAGCACAACAGGCAGGGCAAGGCTCTCCCGCTTTTGGCTTCCACTCAGGTAAATTGTTGACCAAAATATTTGTCTGAGAGATTTGTTCAGGAAAGGATTGAGAGGTGGAGGTGAAAGTAACTTGATTCCACTCTTTGATTCCAGTCGATTTCCATCAGTTTTCTTCAGAGAAAACCTGGAGACTGCTCCAATTTACCAGCATACCATTTCCTCTATTCCTCTGCCTAAGAGACTGCCGCCTTGTCATAGCTGACTTCTTTCATTAATGCATTCAGAGGTTTCCCCTCCTTATCTGCATTCCAATCCTTTGGCTCATCCCAGTTCCAAAATCAGCTTGGGAGGACCAGTGTCTGAGGCATTCTTCAGGGTCAGGTCAAGTCGCTGACTTGTGGGACAGCTGTAGGAAACAAGTCTAAGCTCTTTCCTGTTGCAGTCGCAACCAGTTTTGTTGAGGAAATATGTGCTTCGGAAGTTTTGTAAAGTTTAAAGTTGCTTCAGTTAAGGCCAATTTTACATACAGCAGGAAAATGCTAAATTAAGAGAAATGTAAAGATTGACTGCTCTTGTAAAGGAAGCTCTCACCTGATCTTCTATTATGCCTTTTCTTAGAGAAATGTACCGATAGTGAGGGTTAGGGCTTCCCAAAGGAGGAACAGAGGAATTCACACACTGCTGAAAGGCCAGACTAGCAGAGAAGGTTTGGGCATTAGGAAAAAGTCTCATTAAATATTAATTAATGATTAACCCACTGGATGAACTTATGAAAGGCACAGGAAGGTGAAAAAGAAATGAAAGGGCAATCATGCTTTCAGAAACATTAAATTTGTGTTTGAGAGATTTTGTACTGGGTCAGGTTTGGGTCAGTATATAAACACCAACCTCAACATGTTGGCATTGAACTGAACATGCAGGACGTTGTGGCACACATTCACAGTGGTCTGTGAAATGAGATTTCTAGTTTTCAGGAATTGGACCAAGGCTTGGAGTAGTTTTAGGAATTCTTTACACAAAATTTCTAGCTCCACTAAATAGAGAGACAGTGTTTCACCCTTTTGGTATCTGCCAGCCACGCTTAGAGAACTTCTACCGTTTTAAAATGTTAATTATAGTAGCTGTAGCATAAAGGGGCTGCTGGTCTCCCAGTGCAAACTTATTTGTATCTTTTTTATTTGTTTTTTAAGTTTTAGCATTTATAGTAAGTCAAAATATAAAAATTCCACTCATATACCATTGACATGTTCCTGTTTTTTACTTAGAAGAGCTTACATGGAAGCTCTGGTTTAACAAAAGTCTTTGATCATCACTAACACTGAAGATGTTAGGCTTCAAATTCTATTTTAATAGTAAGTACTACCACCCATAATTTCACAGCTCTGGAGTCTCCAGGGGATAGAACTACCTATTGTTTCAGTAACTTTGCAGCAGATAAAGTGTACCTTACACACAGAAGCATGTATTTGAATTCTAGTTAAGATTCCTGTTTAACAAGTCTAACAATATAATCCAGGTAGAACTCCTTTTTAATGAGTACTATTAAGATAGCCAATTTGATGTTAACTAAGCTACCTTTGTGTTGTCCAAAAGCTAAAGACTCATAGTCCAGCATTTTCCTCTTTAATAAAACTGACAAAATTCTAGATTCCATTTCTTTATGATCTCTCAAACCATCAATTTAATTCACTTAGGATCAGCCAAAAAATAACCCAAAACTGATAATTTTCTTAGTTACATAAAAAGCTTCCACAGATGATCTTTAGGATCTCTTCCAGCTTTTTATAGACAAGTTATAGACTCTAATTTTTCTTTACCACATCTTGTATAATTCCCCACAACTAGGAGTTCAGCAGATGTTCGTTGAACTAATGGTTATTTTATGGATCTATTATTGTAATACAATAGCAACAGCTATATATAGGTCTCTCATAGACTCTAAAAAATTGCACCTTTTGTTTCCATCTGCAGCTTTTATTCTCACATGTCTTTGTAATGAATGACCTTAAATAAGTCGCAAAAATGTTTCTAGAGTAAGATGGATTCTCAGTACTGTTTTAATTTCGTTTCTCCCAAATGGCCAGCAGTGTTGAACATTTCTTCATGTAATTATTGGCCAGTTGTACTTCTTCATCTGAGAAGTGTCTATTCATTTCAGATGCCCAGTTTTTGACTGAGACTTTAAATATAGGAAGTCTAATTTTTTTTAATTCTTTAAGTATTCTAAACATTAGTAGTCCTTTGTGTAAGGAGTAGCTGTCAAATATTTTTCCCTATGCTGTAGGTTGTCTATTCACTCTGTTGGTGGTTTCTTTTGCTGCACAGAAGTTTTTAAATTCGATGTGATGCCATTTGTTGATTTTTGGTATTATTTCTTGTGCAGATGCAGTTCTGTACAGAAAATTTGCCTACTTTTGTATCTTCAAGAGTTTTAATAATTTTTTTCTTCCAGCAGATTTTTTCTGCTTTAATATTTAGACCTTTGATTCATTTTTATTTTTGTTTATTGCATGGTAAGAGATATGGGTCTAGCTTCAATCTTCACTTTTGCAAATATAAGTTAGCAGAAGGTGCCTACAGTTGTTTCTACATCCTCTATTCCGTTGCCTGGAGTTATTTCTACATTCCTCTCTTCTGTTACATTGATCTACAAGTTTGTTTTGGTTTGTTTTGCTTTGTTTTTGTCAATACCATTCTGATTTTTATCACTGCAGCTTTGTAGTGTAATTTGAAGTCTGAGATTTTGATGTCACCGTGACTTGCCTTAGTTACCCTGAATTGCTTTAGCTAGTCTCTGTATCTTCTGGCTCCATATGAATTTTAGGGTTGCTTTCTCTAGTTCTTTTAGATATGTAAATTTTACCCAGCTGTTTTCCTCTTGGGCATCTTCTGAAAAGAATTAAAAGCATCATGTCACAGCAATAGATGCACTCTCATGTTTATAGCAGCAGTTTCTAATAGCCAAATCCTGGAAACAGTCAAATGCCTGTCATTTGAGAACTGGAGAAAGAAGGTGTGGTTATTTTAAAAATACAAATGGAGTACTACTTTGCTACAAAGAAGGATAAGCTTGAGATATTCCTAGGTAAACAGATGCACCTTGAGACCATGCTGTTAAGTGAAACAAATTGGGCACACATATGTAAGTACCACATTGTTTCTCTGATGTGAGAAACTTTAAGTGTAAATAGAGATCAAAATATATATTAGGTATTGTGAAATAGGAAAAATGTTTGAATGGGGACAGGAAACAAGGGAGGGAAGGGTAAAAAAAGTGAGAAAATAAGGAAAATTGGAAACAAAACTTCTGTAGAAGAGGCATGGAGGATGGGTTAAAGGGAGGGTAGGGGAATGGGAAAAAAGAATCAAGTTATATCATGCACAGGTACAAATTCTCTATGATGAATGTGATCATTATGTGTATCTGAAATGTGCCAATAAAATATGAGTGTGGAAAAAATACTATTGATTTTTGATTGTGATTAGGGAAAATATGTGTAACAATTTTGGAATTATGGCCATTTTGACTATACTGGTTCTGCTTATCCAGGAGCAGAGAATATCTTTTCATTTTCTGATGTCCTCTTCAATCTCTTTTCCTTTTTTTAAAAACAGTAATGTAGTTTTCCTTGTGAAAGTCTTTCCTTTCTTGGATAGGTTAATTCATAAGTATTTCATTGTTTTGATGCAATTGTGAAAGGTATCAGTTCTCTAATTTTATTTCCTGTGAGTTTATTACTGGTGTACAGAAATGTTATTGAGTTTCGAGTGTTGGCTTTGTATCCTGTGATGTTGCTGAATTTTATTAATTCTAGATGTGTTTGATGGAGTTTTTGGGTTCTTCTGTGTAGAGAATCACGTCACCTGTAAATAATGATAATTGACTTTTTCCTTGTCTATCATATCTCTTTTATTGCTTTCTCTTGTCTAACTGCTCTGGCTAACATTTCAAGAACTATATTGAACAGCAGTGCTAATAGTCGATATTTTAACTTGTTCCTGATTTTAGAAAGAAAGTTTCCAAATTCTCACCATTTAGTATGATGTTGAATGTTGGTTTGTTATAGGTGGCTTTTATCAGATTGAGATGAAGTCTTTCTATATCTATTTGCTTCAAAGTCTTCGTCCATGAATGAATATTGGATTTTATCAAGCTCTTTTTGCATCTAAAGGGATAATCATGGTGTTTGTTTGTTTGTCTTTCTGAGACAAGGTTTCACAACCCAGTTCAGGCTAAACTCACTTTTCAAGGCCAGGTTGGCCTTGAACTCAGAGTGATCCTTTTGGCTCAGTCTCCTAATTGCTGGGATTACAAGAGTGCACCACCACACCCTGCTGGCTAATCGTGTGGGTTTTATTTTTTGGCTCCAGTTTATGTGGTATATTATGTGTATTGATTTGTATATATTAAATCATCTCTGCATACCTGGAAAGAATCTTACTTAGTCATGATGAATGATCTTTTTGATGATTTGCTGCACTCTGTTTGCCAGTGTCTTACTGAGGATTTTTCGCATCCATATTTATCAAAGAGTTTGACCTATAGTTTTCT